ATTGTTGATTTTATTTTTACTTAGATGTTGTATTTAAAAATAAATAAATTTGAAATGTTTGTGATTTTTAATTAAGGGCCCAATCATAAACATAATTGTTAAAAGGAATATGAGCTAAAATTGATATAATCATAAAATAGAACACTTTTTAAATACACCGTAAGCCTTCTCTACCTTTAACCGGGATTGAAGACTACGGGTGGAAATAATTATTGAGTTGTATTCTTACACTATTAAATTGGGGAAACATACAATAAAATAATTATGATTGCCGTTGTTACTAAATAATCACTCCGGATTTATCATTAGCGTGTTAAAGTCGGAGTGGTTATTATTTAGGTGAACTGCGAGAGCGTCCCTAAATAATTTTCTGCAACCCCACACATTCTATATAAAAATAAATTAAAAATCCAACTTTTATAAAAACATTGGACAATTAATTTACCAATTTCTACCCCTAACTTTTTATCATCAAAAACTTTGTGTTGTTTGGAACTCTCTTCTTTTACACTTTTTATTTTATCTTTAAAACCAAAAAGACCAAAATATTTTACAACTTCTTTTGTAAACTTTTGTTTAAATTAAATTAACTCACGTCTCCCTGAGGTTCGACACCCTACTTACAAGGGATTCTCTTTAGTTGTTATTTTTGCCCGTTCTATACTGCAAATCAGGGACGGAGAGAGTATATATCTTTATATGTTGAACAATCAACTACTAATTAATAACTTACCCGGAAAAAATTATTGCATGGAAATAGAAATATATTTTAATTTTTTCATACTTTAAATACAGTCATTCTCAATCACTTTTCGTAATTAGCCTCTTTCAAATTTTTTGAATGACTTACACTCTCTTGAGTTCTTAAATAAGATTCATGCTTTCGGAGTAGAAAAATATGAAGAAGTCTTTAAATAAATAAATGTTTTTAAAGTTTGATATATAAAAATTATACGAGTAATGTAGTTTATAAAGAAGTCTTTTATTATTTGTAAAACAATTAACTTTTGTACCTTAAAATAATAAAATCTTTAAATTGTACTCCATCCGTCCCAAAGAAGTTCCCTTATTGACTTTTTGGAAAATTAAGGGAGGGATATTTTGATGTTGACTTTCCAAAAATACTCTTGATGTAATTGATAAAAGTAATATGTGATAGATAGATTATTAGTAAAAAAGTATGTTGTGATAGGTAGGGTATGAAAAAGTAAGGGATAAAGTAATTTTTTAATAGAAAAAGGAAGAAGTTTGTAGGACAAAGAAAAAATGAAAGGGGAAGATGTTTCAGAGACGGAGGGAGTATTAGATATGAAATTATATCCTTCAAAAATTATCTTAATTTAGTAATATAAGTATGACACGTGCAACGCATGGGAGTGATGCTAGTTTGGTTCTATCATCCTCCCTCTCAAGCCTCCTTCTTCATCGGCTCTCCATCAGGTAAATTGATTTACACCTTTTCTTATTTTCCAATAATTTGTCTAGTTTTTTTTTTGGGATAAGGTAAATTGATTTACACCTTCTCTTATTCCTGATCGGCTCTTCATACCTAACTTTTCAGCTCATGGCACCAATACCCTGTGATTTTGGTTTGCCCCAAATTTTTTTCCAATTCTTGTGTCTTTTTTTTTTTTCAATTCTTTCGAATTTTACTTTTCTTGCAATTCTTGGAATTCTTCCCATTTTTCAGCAATACCCTTTCAATTTTTTATTTTTTCCAAAACTTGTTCTTCCACACTTGTCTAGTTTGGGATTTATTCTTCAATATTTTTTTTGCAACTTTCAAAGCTTCCAATTTTCTATTATAGTTGGTTTTTTCTGTTGCAAAATTCTTTCATTTTTAAATGTATATTCCAATTTCATTGTTCTTCTTTTTATTTTCATGATAGGAATTTTTTGGAAATTTAATTTTTTTATGTCTTAAATTAGCATATAGTTGGAATAGTATTTGAGATTGGGTTATTTCCGGATTTAGATTCATACCTTGTGATTTGCTTATAGTAACTTGATAATGAATGTGCACACATATTTGTTTATCTTTGTTTGTTTGCATATATGTTAAAGTATTTTATTTTAAGTAATTGATTGGTTTAAATTTTTCACTTTGTTAGATGGACATGGAAAATCAATACTTTCTTCTTGTGCGTCGGTGGCTTGAATTGCGTCAAAGAGCAATAGTTTTGCTTATTTGTGTTTTGGCACATGTACATGTTACAGTTATCAGGAAGCTACTCTAATGGCAGAATGAGAGCTTCGAATTAACTGTAATGGAGAATGACAGTTACAGAGGAAAGAGAGGAAGAAGAAAGTGATGTCTTATTATTCATAACTCCCAAATGTACACAGGGTATGGTATTTATACAAAGGGCTTACAACAATCTTCACAACAACTTCTAACTAACTATAACAGCTTCCCACAAATCAGTAACAGCCCTAACTACCGCTAACAGAATCAGTTTACCAGCCACCTGGCTCC